AACCTCCCCAGTGCTGGGATTATAGGTGTGCGCCACCATGCCTGGACTCAGTTGCTGCTCAGCACTGGTCCTACCTGAGGTTTAATTCAGTACTTTTTTTTTTTGTCCTTTTGAGATCGGGTCTCCCCACGCAATTCAGGCTGGCTTTGCCCTCACTTTGTAATCCATACTTGTCTTGAACTCGTGATTCTTTTCCTACCTCAGCCTCCCGAGTGCTGGAATAACAGGCATGTGACACCACACTTGGCTTTAATACTACTTTTAAAACTCTCATTGGAATTAATAATCGTGATTAGCTAGTTGGTCTGCACTTAAGAATGTTAGGTGGGTAGGGTAGAAGTTTTGATTATAGAATATTAAATTTGTCCCTGGCTTTTAACTAGTTCTTCCCCTGGGAAAGAATAATACTAAAATGTTTTTCTGATCCTGTGTGGAACCATTTCTTTGTTTTTGATATTCCAATGTCCACCTGTTTTATCATTAAGAAAGTCCATGACTGTCTTCTTGTCCCAGGTTTCTAGACATTTGTCCATTTTACTATAGTATGTTGAACTACCAGGGGTACATCTCTGACTGTCTTTTTTTTTTTTTTTTTTTTGGCGGAACTGGGGATTGAACTCAGGTTCTTGTGCTTTTCAGAGAAGCGCTTATTCCACTGAGCCATCTCCCGAGCCCCTCTGACTGTCTCAGAGGGCGACTTGTATCACCTGATGGGCCTGTCTTGTGCTGCCCACTGAGACAGTCATGTGTGTACCACAGGTGGGTCAGAGCCACCTGACAGGAAGACATGAATTATGGGCCAGTCATGAACATGTTAAATTCCTGAGCTACCTTCTGAATAAAGTGTGAGTCAAAGTTTGAAAATTTTGAGAAGCATTGCTTTACTGAAGTTAATAAGGCAAGTCAATTGAGTGGTAATGCTGTTCTTTTCATTGTGTAAAGATTGTCGGTATGTCTTAGTTGGAAAGATACCATTCTGAAATGGAAACAGTAAATTTTGGAGTCAAATATCATTTCAGTTCAGTCTTCCTGTCATCTCTCTACCTGTGTTGCCTGAATTTTTCTTTTAAAACTTCTTTGTTTTCTTATTTGTAAGACAGAATACTTCACTTTTTTCTCATTGTCATAGAATTGGGGTTGTGCCGCAGTGGTGGAGCATTTGCTTTGAGGTCCTCCGTATACTGCTTTTCATTTCCAGCTCTGCAAAACAGCCACAAAACGGAGACTAAACTTGTAAAATTTAAATAGGAGTTTAGTATGTGAAAGTACCTGCATTTGGTAACTTTTTAATGCCTGTTAATTTCCTTCCCTAATTAAATTTATTCATACCTCACCAATTCAGTTACCTTGCAATGAAGGTAATTTGCAGTGGAAGTCAGACCAGTGAGGTCAGACCCATAAAACCAGGACCAAAGAAGCTGGAGACAGGTTGATAGCAGGATGTGTTGTGTGATGGTACATCCTGGCTGGGTCCTGGCGAGGCAGAGGAGAGTGTGCTACATTTTACCATTCTTTGATCCATGAGAATACATGCGCCTTTCCTAGGGGAATTCCTTCCAGGGTGTCTAGGTGTTGAGTTTCTACAAAAAATCAGCCACTGAAGAGAAGAACCTCCACTTGGACTGACACACAGTTGCAAACACTCTGTGGTGTGTATGGCTTTTATGGTCCTTTTAAAGCATGGTAGTGGCCTTCAGAGCTAATGCTCAGAGCTCTTTTTAAGAAGGGATTGGAGAGAAGGTCTTAGTCTTTCAAAACCCTGTGTTAAGGGGCTTTTACATAGGATCAGGCAAAGGAGAGACTAAGAAGCTGGTTTCTTTGTTGGTGGGTTAACATTTGTTACAGTTTGTGTCTAGTTGTCCTCCCAAAGCATCAGCAGTCTTTGGACAGCTTCTGGAGTTTGTGATTGATTACTGTGGGTGTGGATGCTGCACCTGCCCTGGGGCAGTTGAATTGCATTACAATGTAGGGTGGGAACAGAAGCTAGCTGCCTGAGCTGCTGCCCTTCCCTTTGCTCTTGCTGTGTGCCACCACCCTGAAAAGTTGTTCTCTGCCATGTGCCAGGCTGCCTTGGAACCAGCTAAGTATGGACTGAAACCTCCAGTAACTGTGAGCTAAATAAACCTTTCCCTAATTTGAGTGTCAGGTATTTGTCCCAGCAACAAGAGAAGAGTAATGACAGCATTCAGATGGTTTGTAACTGTCATTTTACTCACCTAATCTAGAAAAAAGATTAAAAATAATGGGGAAAATCGTATAAAAAGACTTTTTTTTTTTTTTTTAAAAAAACCAAGGACCAGGAGAATAATGTTAATTTTGATTATATAGCTATGATCAAGTCACAGAATTACTTTGCAGCGTATTTTTTTCCTTAAAGATTAAAAAGCAAAGATAAGGTGACTATTTAGAGAGGGAACAGTACAACAGTGAAAATTTTTGTTTATATTAATACAAGCCCTGAAAGTGTCTTAAAGACTATCACATACCACTTAACCTCAATAACTGTGGTTTAAGTGTTTAATTTTGGGGAATTAAAGCAGCTAAAATAATGAGAAGCCCCCATCTCCCAGCCACTGGAGTTTTCTCCCGCAGAAATAGCATACACAAGGTCAGACTGAAGCTGTGTGGTGGGAGGATACCTGACGGGCAGGAGGAGTAGAGTAGATATTTGGGGTTCCAGGTTAGGTAGGTTGGGCTGTGAAGATCTAAGGTGCTGACGGTCTAGTGTGGTTGGGTCCAGTGTGGTTGGGTCCAGTGTGGTTCTCGTGGTTCCTGGGGTGTTTTCTGCCTGTTGTCCCCTGACAGCCTGAGGGATCTTCAGCAGGGGGATCCCTTGGTGTTTTGTTTGGGGAGAATATAGCCTGTCAGAACGTCTGCCTTGAGAGTCAGTCAGGATTCAGTCAAGTCCTGATGGTCTGGGCTAGAGTTTTGGATGCTGGTGTGGGGGCCCCACTGTCAGGGCCATCATCCTTAGGGCAAAGTACAGGTGCTTGGGCCGATCAAAAAATAAGGCACAAGTTTATTTCTTATTACAGTGAAAGACACACTGCTGATCATTTCCTCAGAACACTGTCCCTCATCTTGAACACATATATCCCACCATTATTGCCACTTTTGAAACACAATTCTGGAAGTCTTTATAAGGTGTGATTAAAAAAATGCAGTGAACACTGCTGCTGAGTGCCATCCAGGGGAGGGCAGGCTGGTAGCAGTACTGCATGGTGTCCCCATCCCCCCTAGTCACGGGATCTGGCACCGTGACTTGTGGCTTTTCTCTAAGAACGGCTGTGCAAGGCGAATGTTGTGAGTCGGTTCGGGACAGGCAGCCATCACAGCAGTGCAACTAAAGATACTTACTAACGGAGACTTCTAGAACTGCTCTGGAGTGTGACAAAAACAGTGAAAGCCTGTTTCATGTGAGGAGAGGTGGATTGATGACTGTGTGTCTTACACTGTAACACATTTTTAAAGAACATTCACCATATTTTGTGACCATACTACATAAATACAGTGATGCTGTGGATTACAGAATTTTGGACCATGTATGAACAGTGCCTGGCATGTAGTAGGTTTTATGAATAATAAAGATTTTTTTAATGTGAAAATTTATAAGGCAGATGACTCATCAGTGATATTGGTACAGCAAAAATGCATAATCTTGTTTAGGTTAATTCTTCAAAGTTGTATTCTTAAAAAACAGTCATTTTACCTTTAGAGAAAGAAGTGAAAAGCTACACATGAGGTGTAAGCGGCCAGCACCTGTGAGTGGCGTGCTTGCAGAGTTGTCGTTCAC